CGTCTCCTCGTCCTGCCCTGTCCTGCTCGGGGTCGGCTCTCAGCCGAGATCCCGTCGGGGGCTGTGGGCAGCAGCTGCCCCCAGAGTTGGGACCTGGCCGGCGGATGTGTGGGCTCCTCGGCGCTGGGAGAAAGCCCCTGAGGGCTCCTCCGCTTCGGCGGGCTGTGGCGGTCGGGCGGCCCCGTGCTGGGGACGGGGACCGTGGGTAGCTGCCGCAGGGGTCCCGAGATACTGTTTGTGGTGATTGGTGGCGGCTTGAGCGGCAGTGTCAGCGTGCCTTAGTGATCTGCATGCACATACATAAAGCCTGTGTGCGCTCCTTTTTATTTGCTTGTTCTGACGACAGCCCTTTTTTAGCATGGGAGGCAGAGGGCGGTTGGAAGGCTGCCCTGTGACATGAAACTTGCATAGCAAACTCAATTTCTTATATAATCTGTAACTCTAAGGTAAATTAAATAAAGACGGAATTTCAGAAGGGTGTGTTTACTTGTTCAGCGCTCAGGTCCTCCCGGCAGGCTGGCAAAGTGGGGTTTTCTGGTGGAATGTATGTTCTAGAAACCAAGTATTAAGTAATACCAAATTAACGCACACGCCCCCGGATATTACCGCAGTATTGCAGACAAGGCCTCCCGACCTTCTTGATAATTTAAGCTGTTCTTTGCTGTCTGTTGCACTCACTTCAGCATCCCTAAGACGATGATTCGTTTGCTGAGTAACAGCAAAACAGCAAACTTTTTTCTTGCAACTTTTAAGTTGTGACTGTTTTCACAAGAATATTTATACTGATCATAACTTAAATTTTTATAATTGGTTGGAAAACTGCATTATTATGTTGAGATATTTTTATGTTAAAGGATTTCTTGTTCCATTTTCAGAGGGAACTTTAAAATGAAGGTTTAGAAGACAACATTCTGCTTGCTGCTTGAAGTAAAAAAAAATCTTTATAAGCACGACCTTGAAGCACAGTATAACATCACTGTAGTTTTGGTTTTAGAAGAAGCTGAAAGCTCCTCTCATTTTGAAAAAGTTAATGATTGTGGGTGGGGTTTTTTATTTAATGTGAGGAAAACTATGTAAGTAAATCACTTTTGCAGGCCAATGAGTTACTCATTATTTACACCTGTTGCTTTTAAATTAATGGTAGTATTCTATTTTAATAGTAAATTTATGTGAATTAAGGAAAAACAGGTGTTTGCAAAGATCAGGGATTTAATTGATGGAAAAAATGTGTCCTGATTTCATGAACAAAATATATTAAGACACCCTGAAACAAAAATTGGTTTCTAGTCTTTAAATTGCCACTCTAATCCAGAATAGCATTCAGTTTTCTGGTGTGATCTGACACTTCTTTTTTCCTGTGCAGACTCTTTTTATTAAAATACTGAATATTCATTTAAAATGACAAAAAAGATTACAACCGGAATATTACCCCAGTTTTTTTCCTGTATTTGGATCGTCTCTGCTTAAAATAATTAGTTTAATCATGAGCTGTGGCAATGATTTTGTGGAAACTCTTAAGAAAATTGGATATCCAAAAGCTGATGAGCTTAATGGAGAAGATTTTGACTGGCTGTTTGAGTCTTTGGAAGACAATTCTTTTCTGGAGTGGTTCTGTGGAAATGTAAATGAGCAGTATGTGGTATCTGAAGAAGAACTGCAAGATTTTGATAGTCTTCTTGAGTCTGGTAAGCCTGTTTTGGAAGGAAATTCACTGGATGAAGTCCTTAAAACCTTGAAGCCCATGGATTCAAAGAACAGTAGCCAAGAGGAGGAGGAGGAACTGAAGAAGTTAGAGGATGAACTTCAAACTCTTCAGAAGTTAAAAAAACTTCAAATTCATCGTCATAATAAGCTTCAAATGATGGTTGCTGCGAACAACCATATGTTACAAACATTAAAAAGCAAAGAGGAAGAAGCACATAAAGATTTGAAAGAAGGACTGCAAGTGTTTACTGCAGCAAATAATAAGCTTAATAATGAACTTCTGTCTCTTACGGATGCAGCTAAGAAACTTGCCTCTTTCTTCACTGCTTCAGATTCAGAACAAGAGTCAAGTCCCCATCCAGTGTTTTTTTCCCAACTTTCTTTGGACAAGTATTTGTCTCAGGAAGAACAAAGCACTGCAGTGCTTACATCATACATAAAAGCACACTTTTATCAAGGTGAGTCTGAATGTGTTGAAAATTCACATGAAGGCTGCTTTGAGCTTGCAGATATAAGCGAACAAGTCACTTGTGATGAGGCTAATGAAGTTTGTGAAGAGAGTCAAGAGATGGCCAGGCTCCAGACGGCATATATTTGTGCTCAACATCAGCTAATTCAGATGCAAGCTAAAGAGGAGAGCATGAATTCAGCTATAAAATGCGCGGAGAGCATGCTGCAGTCCTTAAACAACAAGGTGAGCCGCAAAAGGTGATAGAAGGTAGTGGAGTTTTAAACAGGCAGGTGTGTTCAACTGAATCTAGTAAAAGGAATTCCTGAGTTACTGTTATTTCAACATATTACATAGTGAGATTGCACTTTGTGAAGTTTTAGTCTTGCTCACAGAACTCTTGTGAAATACCTTCAGTTTCTCTAGTTAGAAATTCTTCAGTATGGCAGAGTACCTTTAATTCTACTTTCCAGAATTGCTACCTCAAAAAAACGGAGAATTTAGTAGTACTTTTCCAGTTTAGTTTAAGTTTGAAATTTCAAATTGTAACTGGTTCTCAGTTGTTTGTACAACAAAAGCAAGCTTAAATTTGGTTGAAATTTTGTGGTATTGAGGGGCTAATATGATAAATGTATTCCTGTTTATATTCCATAGCATAAACTTGAAAAATTTTAGTTCACTGACTTTTTGAAACTCAAGTATTTGTAATATGGTGACATTATGGTGACGTGCTTTAAATACCAATTAAATGGATTGGATAGTTGAAGCCCCAGAAATGTCTCAACAAGTGAGCGACTGGCAGATATGACTAGTGGAATTTAAGAATGTGAAGAAATAGTAACAGAAGGGAAAAATATTAGCTTCTGCCAGTCATGGACTAACTTGAGGCATCGGGTCAGTTTGTATATTTTTATTTATGGATGAATAGCATATAGGACTTGATTGATTAGAGTAATTTGAAAAAGATTGATTCTGATAGTGTTGATAGTCATCTGACTGAATATAAAAAATTATGGTTGCATGTGAAATTTCGGTTAGACATGCTTGAAATCTGGGTGCTGAGTAAAATTACAGCTCTTCTATTTTTTTTCCACAATAAACTGTTTCCTGGCCCTGCAGTGGAATTAAATTACTATTTATTGAATTACATTTATTTGATATCTACTTTTTAAATCTGTATTTGCCTGATGTTGTAAAGTTCTGTCAAACTGCTTGTGGAATTTCCGTTTAATTTTGTAGATACAAAAGATGCAAAGATTTTAAATGCAACATAAGTACAAGAATCTTGTGTGAAATGAAGAAATGGGTTAGGGGAGTGGCTTGGAGGAAACCATGAAGAAATTGACAAATATTTTGCTTTATGCAGGATATTGGAAAACAGGAAAACCTTGATGCCAAAATATGTAGTTTAAATGATGAAATGTCAACAATTAAACAAGAAATAACTCGGATAAACAATGAAGAGCTGCTTCCCCTTTTGAAAGAGAATGCACGACTTTTGAGTGCACCAGTGGTGAAAGGGCACTTGCTTCGTCAGATTGCTCAGCAGGACTATTATGCTTCGAGACAAAATGAAATATGCAGGCATTTGATAAGACAGAAAGCATCATTTGAACTTATTGAGCTAGCCTATGAAATGGAGTTGAAGAAACATAAGGAGATCTGCTGTCAACTTGAGAATTTGGTAGAATCTCTGAAACAGAGCAGTAATGAGTTGCAGCAGAGACTACAGGTGATATCTGAGCAAACTCAACATGCAAAGCCAAGGAACACTATTAGTTCAAAAGATGGTTTCTCTTGCAGGTAAGTGTTATAGTCATATTGCACTTTGATTTAGTTTGAAATAATATTTGGGAGATAAAGGCTTAGGCAAGCTAAGAATTTTCTATTGCTAAGTTCTTAGTTACTTGCTATAGCTAATTAGTATCTTGAATTCTCCAGAACTGAAGCCTTCAAGATAGGAGATTTGCCTCTTATCCTTTGAAATTCTTTTCAGGTTTGCCTGAGGAAAAACTGTTCAATTATCAAGTCTTGTTAGTATTGCTGAAGCATTCCCAAGCAATACCCGGAATATAATGAATGTTTAAAGCCAAACCTGTCTTCATGGTGCCCTGATCTAGGACCTCTTGAAAGTTGTTCTGGAAGTATAGATATAGGGAGCTGTTAATAACTGTGGTTTCCCAGATAATATGCATGGCCTCATCAGCTTAGTCTGCAAAAACCCCCATGTGGTAGAGGAGAGGAACAACTCCTTCAATACATGAAATGTGTTTAGCTCATTTTTACTGCTTGATTTGCCATCTGGCTTCTGTGTCCCGTCCCCCATATAGAAGTGTAGTTTTTCGCTGTCTAAGTAATTAAGTCTCCTTGTAGCTCAGGTGATACAGTAGGAATGTGTGCTGTGTTGCTGTCACTTCAGGACTAAACCTTTTGATGAGGTGTATTGTATTACTATAGGTGTGTTAATGTGAAACTTTTCCTCCTTTTTTAAAATGGTGCTTTAAGTGTTTTTTAACAATTGTTAAGGGAGAGTTGGATATGGTCTTGCGTAGAGAATAACTGCAAGAATTAGGCAGCATTAATTTTGCTCCCCTTGTGTGTTTGCATTGGCAACTTGTAACATTTTTGTTCAGGTTTATTATTAAGTCTCCAATCTCTGAATCAGAATGTTGTCTTGCTTCTTTTTCACTTTTTTTTTTTTTTTTCAAAAAGCCAAGGCATGTGTTAGTATTCATGATTGTGAAGGGAAGTTGAAAAAGTTAAAAACCCTGAAGGGTTTGTAAGTGGAAGACACTTGAAAGAAATTTGGTTGCTTTTGAAATATAGCTCCTGGTCTTATTTAAGCCAATCTGACTCTATATTTGGACTCAACTCCTGAAGATTTCAATATGCAGAGGTGGTAGTAGCAACGAGCAAAGTTATCTGTGATCGTATTAGACTCTTCCTGATGCAGTTTGGTACAGCAGGTATTGCTGTCTTTTACGTGAATTGTAACTAACTGGAGAATTTCTGTGTAGTCTCTTCATAGAAAATTGGAAATACTCCAGTAAGCTTGAAAATTTTATAAGGATTTCTCTTATTTCTTATTGGCCATTGAAGTCTGCTGTTTTTCAGCACATAAAGATTGCATCTTGCTTTGCTGCCCTTGAAGTGTTGGGAAATAGTTGGCGAAAGCACATTGTCAACTTCTATTTGCATTCATTGTGTACTTATTAACTGTTACTTTGGTATTTCATTGCTGTTAATTTAATATCAAAATATTTTGGAGTCCTGTTAATCACATACTGGCTATATATAGATAGAGTCATTAAATCAGTGGGAGATACAGCAGTGTAGGAAGAGTACCCTGAGCAGTACTGTCCTTTACGAGTCCTCTGAGTTCTCAACACAAACATCTTTTCTTGACTAATGATGACAGGAGCGCGTAGGAGACTTAAAAATGCTTGTGTGTCTAACTTCTTTTGTTACAGGCTATATCAGCTTCTGGAAGGAGAAAATAAAAACCAGCAATTGTTTAAAACATACAAAAGACTGGAGCAGATGGCTCAGAAGTTAAGGCAGGACTGTGCTACAGTACAAGATCAGCTAGCAGCATCTTCTCAAGAACAGTCTCTCCTTTTGTCCAAGCTAAAAAGTGATGTAGAAACCCTTCATGATGCTCTGTATCATGGAGGAAAACAGATACAACTCAGTAGTCGGGTAAGCCCTTATCTAGTTATTAAAATTATTACATGAATGTGTGTCATGTTCAATGCAGTATGAGGACTGTAGACACACAAACTGGCTCCCACATGTCAGTAATGAATTTATTAGCATAATGATGACGAGCCCAGTATTTACATTGTTCTTAGCAAATGTTGGATTTTGTAAATGTAGGTAATAATTTTTTGTTTCTGAGCAAATCATTGCATCTAACTCTTAATTTCTGTCAAAAGCATATACAGTCATGTATTACCTAGTGAGTTTATGGTGTGGGAAATACGTCACCTAGGTATGGTGTCACTGGCAAATTTGTTTAAACTTCTCTTTATTTCAGATGGGCTTTTTCCCCGCTGTTATCCATAACACCTGAATAGTACAGTTTGGCTCCTTAAAAAGCCTGGCCATGGGTGATTCATTTAGACAAAATAAGAATATCAGAATTTCGAAAGACAGTTGTAGTAGGACAATCCTGCAACAGAGCTCCCAGGTGTTGGGTTTAGAGCCTCTTTTAAATGGGAATGGGGGTTGTTAAATGCAACTTGTTACGGTTTTTAAATAATTGTAGATATCTTAAAAGCGGATTGAGGGAAGTCTTCTGTTAAATAATACTTCCTTGATTAAATACATAAAATATTTAACACTTCCATCTGTCAAGTGAATTTGCAACATATAGAACAGTTTTTAAAAAGAATTGAAACTTTGTAGTTGGAACAATAAGTTTCTAGGGATTACACATTATTAAATCAAATACTTTTCTATTGATTTAAGTTAAAACATAGTGACAGCTCTTTCTATTGCTACTGTTTATAAAAAAAAGTAATTCCTTTAATAAGGAAATGATGTGCAAGTAGGTGACTAGCCTGCTTACACTGAACTAGAAGAATGACAGTTGGAAAAATTGTAGCTGGTAATTAAAGTTTTAATTTTAAAATAAAATTGGCTTTTTTGTTCTGGGTTTTTTTTTTCCTCCCTTTTAAGATTTGACTAGTTATGAAGACTTGTAATTGACTGAAAGCATCATTCAACTGTCTGTCTAGTTGAGGGCCAGATTCTTATGGTCTTAACTCATCTGGTTTAGTAAACAACTCAATGAAATTACATTTTTGTAACCTGATGTGAGTACCATTACAGGGAGCTCATTCAGTTACATAAATTGAATGGAGTCCCTTATCACCTGTGTTTCAAGTTCTTGTGATGACTTTTCACTTACAAGCGAAAGTGGCTGTCAAAAGCAAAAAATTTCTGTATTTCTAGTTCAACTAATGTATTAACAATATAAAAGGGATAATTTTTTGTCTTTTCTTTTTAGGAACTTTGTGAGCAGTTTCATCAACTGGAAGGTGATTTAAATAAACTAAATCAACTTCTTATGGATCTGATTGCTGATGTGAAGTCAAAGAGAAACTTTTTAGAGTCCAATAAGCTGCATCAGATGGAAAGAAACTTGTACGTGTATTTTTTCAAAGACAAAGACCACTTGAAAGAGATGGTGGAGAAGCTTGAGCAGCAATCTGCTGCTAAAGCCGGTGTTCTGGAAGATGAGAATTTCACCACCAGTGGAGTTCTTAATTTTTAAACTTCAGCATACTCTTAAACGAAAGTGTGTTAATGTAAACTGTCTACAAGTTTATGGAATGATAAGTATTAGCTTATCAAGGCTAACATTTATCTGTCATTGCAATGTATGTTTAGCTGCCATGATTACAAAGTTTGGATTGCATGCTGCTTTATGGCTTTTTGCATCTTCCCAATGAGTTCAAATCTCAGTTTTGTCAAAGTTCTTTGATATGAAGTAATGCATTGGTTATTTGAATGAATTACATTCAGGCTGCTCTTCTGCTAGCCTGTATGTTGATTTCCACTGCACACAGCATAGCACAAAAAGGAACATTTCATACCCTTGAGATAAGTTTTCTTGCATGCTAAGAACCTTTGATATGTCAACTGAAAAATAAATGTGGAGAAGGCATTCCAGATTTTGGAACATGAAAGTGCTCCTTGTGAAGATGAGAGTTCTCCGAGGCAGATATTCCATGATTACTTCCCTTACAATTTCTCCTAAGAAGATCTCGTTTTGTTAGAAATGTGTTGGAATATGTACCAGAATCTGTTTCAAGTACCAAGACCGTCTGTTTTAAGATCATTCCGGTATCTCCTAATTTAACTTATGGCCTGTCTTCTCCATTGAAACCAGTCCATGCTCATACTGGGCTCTTCAAAGAAAAAGAATTTTATATTTACCTTTCGGACTTCTGAGTTTTCTCTATAATATATAATGCTAGGAATTTCATTTCAGAGTCCTGATACTTTTATACTTCTGCTTTCATGTGCATTGTTAGACTGTTTATCAAATTTTTATATCGCTTCCTAATATACCAAGTAGACTTTTATAGTATGATAACTTCCAGTCTTTTCTATTTTGATGGGATCAGCTGTCCTTGCTTTAAAGTGTTGTACATATTGATGAAGGTTAGTAAATTAGCTTTAACTTCAGTGACAGTAGTGTTAAAACTATTTTGATGGCTTTTAACTTTTATGTGAGTATAAATTATTTTTAAATGTTTAAGATTTTTTTTACTTACTGGTTTAATGTCTTTATATCTGGATTTCATGCTGCTTAACTCTATATGTTGTGTTTATTATTAAATGCCAAACACTATAAATTCAGTTCAGTGTTGTCAATATTTATGGTGAATCTGTGTGTTGGTTTTAGGTGTGTTCTCATGCATAGTGTCCTGTTTATATTTAGTCTGTGAGGTTCTCATTTTGATATGCCCCTGAGGCTTTATGACTGCTGCTTCCCACCCTGAGAAGTCAGGCACCGTTTTTACTCTGTTTAGGAAAGAAGCATTGCTCTTAATTATAAAAGTTAGGAGGAGTTGTGCATGGGGAAAGGTTATACTTCTGACTCATGGAATGTCATGGAAAAGAAAGCCATTCTATGCCTCTCTGCCTTTTGCATGCTTACTATGAAATTTGAGCTAGATAGATATAGCCAATACTAATGCAGCCTGATGGATGTTCCTCTTTGAATCTGGATACAAATGTTTGTACTTCTAAGTATTCAAACTTGCAATCTGCCTGTGGTCTTGAGCTAAGAAAAATATTTCCATGTAAACAGAGGAAATATTGTTTACCTGATGGTTAACTTGACGGTCTACTCAGGCACTGGATTTAGTGGGAGAGGACCAGAGTAACAGGACTCCAGTTGTTAACTTGTATAGGAGTTTCTGGTAGAGCAATTGACTTGTACAGCTTGAATCCTTTAAATATTTTGAAAATGTTGGGTATTTATCTTGTGTTTATGGTAAGTTTTATGCATTGTTCTGGTCTAACTATGTAAAGTCAACAGAGTCATCAGTATGGGCACTGTTGTTTCGAATTGTCCTGTATGTGTTGTATCCAGGGGGTCTCCAAATATTTCCTGTGTATTATAGAATACAGCTACAGGTCAACTGGAAAAGCAAATGCTTTTCAAAAAGGTAACACTTAGAACAGCAATAGCTGCAATCAAAGCTTGTAGAGACTAGATGTTGGTGACCTGTTTCTTAAATTGACAAACTATAGTAACTATTTTAATTTTATTAACATTTAATAGTGATTGAGTACATCTGTTACACAAAGCTTAAGGAATAGAGGTCTTTTATGGTAAATATTTTCTGAAACAACACATCACTAATTTTTATATATCATGATATTAATACTTGTTTCTTTCATCTTGTGTTGGCTCTATTTTGGCGGTTACTTGAAAGGCTTTTTCCTTAATAAAATTGAAGCACCAATAACACTAAACATATGCATACGCTAGATATAGGCTGGTTTAAAGATGTTGAGGGGGGAAGTATTTCAGACATAAATGACAATTCTTACTTTATTTGTCAGATTATTTTTTTTTTTAGAAGTTAGCTTTACTTAATAGGACTGCTTCATTTTTTATTGGTCTATTAAAACACTTTCAAAGAAGTTTCACTTAGTGGTTTTTGTAAATTACTACAATTTTCTATTTTTCTATTTGTAGTATGTAGATGTTGAAAGGCATGTCAGGAAGGAAATGTCATTTTCTATCGAGGAGAGTGAATGACTGAACTTACTCACTATATTTTGTCTTACATTTCAACAGAATGTAAGTGCAGATTGTTCTGTGGCCCTGATACAATGCATAATTTGTGTGTTCTGCGTTTAGGTTTAATCTTAAAAATGGAACAGTACACATCATACATAGGATGTGAGACTTCTAAAGTGCCTTTATCTGATATTGCTCAGAGGATTATGACAGCTTTGCAGTCTATTCCTGTAGGAGAAGTTCAGACTAGCAGAAAGAATAACCAGAGTAAGTAAATCTTAGCCTATTTAAATGTTTCTATTTTCAGTTGAAAAACTGAAACTCAAACAAAATAGTATCAAACTTCTAGTCCCTATTTAAAAAGAAAAAAAAAAACACACCCAACCCCTGTGAGAGTTTAGATTTCCAGGGTTAGAAGAGAAGTTAAGCTGTAACTGTGACATTTGCTGGGACTTTTCCAATTAAATAATGCCATGTGAGTGCAAGGAACTAGGTTGTTACCAATATCCTCAATTTATTTTTTTTCTTTCTGTTCCTGCTATGTGGTATAGAAGTAGATGAGAATTTCAAACTGTCTATTACCAAATACTGTAAATTAAATGTATACATTAAATGTCTAGTCCAGAGTCAAGTTAAAGATCACTAGAGGTACTAGGAACTTGCCAGAAGGCCAGTGAACTCTCTAGACTTATGTCTGTCCTTTAAACACATGTTCATTAGCAGCTCGCTCCTTGTGAAATTCTAGGGGTAAGAGTGAACAAAAGTCCCAGTGGTAGAACGAATTAGGTAATGTTAAAAGTGCTTTACCAGATCTTTGACTCTGTTGAGCAAATCTTACTCAGAATGTTGTGAACGCTAGGGAGGTTTTGCAAGATGGAATTTTTGTTCTTAATTTGTGTATTTCATAGTCTGCCGTTCTTGTAGCTCTGGAAAGATGTAGATAGAAAGTTAGAGTTTTGCTCTGTTTCAGTTGTCTGTTTTCTCCTGAGAAATAGATCCTGGAACATTATGTGGTTGATGGGATTTAAATCTAGCATTTATTCTTGAATTAGTGGTGTTTGTTGCAGCCTCAGTTTTACATAAATAACAGTTCAGTCTCTTCTTTCAGTAGTCAAGAATTGGATCGGTCGAGTCTGATGGTATAGTAGTGAAAAGGGTAGTAATTCATTGATGTGTAAATCAGTGATACACAAGAAATATGGGGATGGGTTCATTTTAAAATGGTACATTTGGACCAAACCCCAGACTATTTTAAAGGTAATCGGATCTCTTTTCTGCCTTAGTTTAATTGCCGTTCTACTTCTCTTGCTACCTTGTCATTTTGCCTTCCTTAATTTTCCTCTGGAATGTTTTTTGTCTTAGATGGGAACTCTGTGCTGTGTGATAACTATATCGTGTTGTGTTGTCCGCTCTTGATCTGTTCACTTTCTGTCAAGCTGTAAAATTTACAGATTCTATTTTCTAAAAAACTCCATGAAGGTGTCTCATATCTTTAGCCAAATGAGCTTGCTGTTGTCTTTGTGCTGCTAAATCCGTACTCACTAGGGAGGGAAAGAACAGTGTAAGCATTTAGTGGTGGCAGGTCACATGACTAGCTTTTCTTGCTCTCATTTTTCCATGTAGTAATTACTCACAATTGTTTCTAGTGTACAGGCTTAAGAACAAATTTATTTGAATTGATTTTAGGAAATTGCCTCTATATATAGCTTTAGCTGATCAGCTTGGATCTGGAGAGAAGAAAAAGTTTGCCTTCCTGAAAAAAAAAACAACCAAAACCTGTCATGTTAGTTGGTCTGTTTCAAACTGTGTTTTATTGATAATCTTTAAAGATTACATTCTGCTTACTGGAAAAACTGTTTGTCTTTAGAAGGTAAATATTGGGTTCAAATAGGACAAATATCTGCAATGAACTCGGGGGTGGAATTGTGTGGGTATCTTGGCAATAGAGCTTGTAATGGTTCCATCTAGCCTTAAGGAGTTTGGAGGCAAGGACGGGTTTCTACTGCCATCTGGTGACACTTTTTCATAAACAAATTTGAGGTTGCATAGCTCTTTACATACCTGTCGTGCTGAAGGAGAGAAATGTAATCCTCATCTCTGGAGGGTGAATTTTTCAGGAAAAAGTATCGGGCTGTGAAACAATTAAAAGCACTGAATGGAAACTCAGTTACTATAATTCTTAAATGATAATTTTATTATAGTAGGAAGCGTCAAGAAAACCAAACCTAACATATTCGAAGCTAGAAATACAGTGATGCCATACTTGCTATTCTAACAGCTCAGGTTAGAAGCCTGAGCTGGACATAACTGACTGTTTATACACATACATGAACATGAACCTGAATGTAATACTATAAAGTAATAAGCTTAGTTTCTTCTGGAGACTAAGCTAGTTAGTCTTTGAAAATACTTTTTTGGTATTTTAAGTACAGGGTCCTGGTTTGCCTAGACAAAGTTTTTTTTTAAAACGGTTTCAGTGAATAGAAATAGGTCACCTTATGCTTTGTAGGACATTATTCATCAGCACATTTGATTCAAAAAGTGTCTTGCTGCTGGTAATGCAAATTTCATAGCTGAAAACAGCAGTGGAGTGTTGTATTTGGTATGAACCAGGAGTTAGAAGGGGACAAAATACATGTCTTGCCCATGCAATGTCTTTTGGCTGGGCAGTAAAAGAATACAGAGATAAAGGAATACTAACTAATTGGAAACTCCGGAGAGACTCACACTTCAGTGGAGTTCTTCCCTTCCCTGTTCCTCTTCCTCTGCCTACTGAGTTTGTAATTGCTGCTAGCCCGTTGCCCCTTGTTCTTTTATTCCAGTCTTGCATCCCCTCTTCTTGAGGCTACTAGGCAGTGTTCAGGGCAGAAAACGGAAGGCATGTCTTAACTGTTTCATTTACCACGGTGCAGCATCTGAGGTGCATTTACAAAGCCTGCCTTAAACTGCAGCATCTGTCTGCTTTCAGAGCTGTAGGCTAAATATCACTGGTGGTTCAGTGGTGGGCCCAGGCTAACACCTGTGCTGTGGCACAGGGCTATCTTAGACCTTGCAGTGATAGCCCTCCTGCTTCTTGCAGTGCTAGCCATTACCTTAGCTTTCTGTCGATTGGATATGTCTGAATTCTTTCTCTCTGTTCTTGTCTGGTCTTACAATACCTGTTCTATTCCGAGGATGAATGATGTGAAAAAATTATCCTCTGCAGATGAAGCAATGATCAATTCTCTGTAGGGCATGATATGCTAAAGATGTATATACAAATAGTGTTTTACTGAAAAAAAACCTATTGTGCCTAGTTCCAAGAAAACAGTTAAACTGTGTGGAGTATGTAGTTTGCTTTTTGGTTAGGTTTTTTTTCCCTTCTTGCCCATGCCCCCAGCTTTACTTTGACCAAGATAGGATGTGTTTTCTGGAAAGAAGAAAATATGCATATTTATGGTATTACAATAATGCATCTTCTAAATACCGTGGAAAATGTTTCTCTGCTTTGTAGTGGATTTGAATTAATTTTTTCTTAATGGAGACAGAGCATGCTTTTGCATATGCATATTTAGGAACCTGCAGGGCCCTTTTAAGCATGAATGTTATTAATTTGAAGAAAAATGGTTGTCATGGAATATTTTGTTGCAATTTTTTTAGGTTTGGTAAAAGTGTCAGCAATGTAACACTGAAGGTAACCTAAGTTATATGCACTGCTCCTGGATTCATTTGTATTGTGAAATGTTTCACTTTTTCTTTTTTTAAGGTATAGAGACAACAAAGGACAGTAAACTAGGTGATAAGGATGCACATCTGAAAAATAAAAAGGCAAGCATACTGTAAGATTGAAGACCACTAAAAGTCTTTTTGTCGCAGGTTTGAAGTTGTTATAGACTGGCTCTTTCATAATAAGCTTTATCACACTATACTGCATACACTCATAGTTCAGATAACTTTCTCTTATTTTGCATTTGGCTTCTACTTACCTATGAGAGTCTTGACCCCACTTCTGTTATACTTTTTACAGGAAGCTAGTCTTTTGTGACAGACTCATCAGAAATTAATGAGGTTCCCACATTTAGATAGTTACCAGGATTTAAAAATATTCTCAAACCTCTGTCACTGAACAATCGCTGGTACCCCCCAAAATGGTCCAAAATGCAGCAAGCTTCTTTTCATAGCAATAGTGAAGTGACTTTGTTTTATAAATTGTTATCTCATCATCCGTAACTGGCATGACCTATATAATGCCCATATTGTCTACAGGAGAGCTATTAGATATTGTAGCCTGGATGCCATCCTGTGCAACCTGTTGTAGGTGACCCTGCTCTGGCAGGGGGGTTGGACTAGATGATCTCTAGAGGTCCCTTCCAACCCTGACCATTCTGTGGTTCTGTGATAACTTGTTCTGAATCAACACATTCTGTGTACTAAATGGGAGTGTTAGAATGGAAGGGTACAGGCTCTTTAGGAAGGACGGGCAGGGGAGATGAGGAAGGGGTGTTGCCTTCTGCGTCAATGACGAGCTGGAGTGCATGGAACTCCACCTGGAGATGGATGAAGAGCTGACCGAGAGCTTATAGGTCAGGATGAAAAGGAACATGGGGGCAGGTGATGTTACGGTGGAGGTCTGCTACAGGCCACGTGACCAGGATGGTAGAGCGTATGAAGTCCTCTATAGACAGATGGGAGCATCATCACGCTCATACGCCCTGGTCCTCATGGGTAACTTCAACATCCCTCATATCTGTTGGAGGGACAACACAGCGGGGCACAAGCAATCCAGGAAGTTCTTGGAATGTGTCAGTGACAACTTCCTTCTCCAAGTGGTAGAGGAGCCATGCTGGACCTTGTCCTTACCAACAAGGACGGGCTAGTGGGGAATGTGAAGCTCAAGGTCTAAGAATAAAAAATGCATACTTCTTCATTGCTACAAGAAAAATCATGGATTTAAGAGATCACTGCAGTTTTCTTGGTGGCTGTGCTGCCTTCCAGGGATGTTAACAGCACTGTTCAGTCTTCTCCGGAGTTGCTATTGGCACATTTTTTCTGTTCTATGGGTGTTTCTTGTATGGTCAGTTTCCTTAATTTGTGAGTTTGCAGCACTGTAAGTCAGTCTAAGCCTTGCAACCTATTCCTTCTTTTCTGCTTTTCCTTGTTTTACATTTTTGGTCCTTCCATAGGCTGGTGCTTGTCATTACATAATCATAAAGTGAGATGATTTATGTGAAAAATTACTTCGTATTGGGAAGTTTAATTTTTGGTTTTATCATCTTTCTGAATTTGATTTAATGTGCATGTGAGTGAGTTGCCAGTACAAGAATGGGAATGGGTAACTGGGGCAGCCCCAACTTTTTAAGATCCATTGAGGTGACTAAAGAGTTGCAGATACTGCCAGTGTACTCCTGTCCCAGCTGCAAATTTCACGGCCTTCCTTACTCTGACTTTGGTGCATGTTGCACAGTTCAGCAAGTCCATTCAGGTTGCTCAAGATGCAGAAAACTGTTTGGTTTCTTTTTTGGGGTGGGATAGCTTCCTGCAAATTAAATTGGCTCATAGATATGAATGCAGCTGTGGGTGCACATGGATAATAGTGGAACCCCTTTTTGTGATGATGAGGTGCAAATTTTGACTTACAGCATCTAGTGAAATTTTTCTGCATCCACATAAATTATCCTACATTGTGGGAGTTGTTTTCTCTACTTGCAGCCATGTTATTATTTCTAGTAGAAGATGGCTTCTTCCTGGAAGCTGCTGCTTTTTTCTGGTTATTTGTAGTTCCAGCTGTATTACTCTGACTTGATAATTAAATTGCCTTGTTCTTATTTTTGAACCTTTGAAAGAGAATTGCTTATTCCTGATTCCATAATTACTTGAGTGTCCTAATTCAAATTCTACTGTGTTAAACAATAAAACTATTTGCAATTTGATGGGAGAATACACTTGAGTGGATTAGTTCTTTCCATGGCTCTTAAGCATTTGGTCCTTCTGTGATACTATTTTTCTGCTCATGATTATTTTTTATAGTGTTCCCTTTTTGGTTAGCATTGCATAAGTCCAATTAATTTGTCGTCCTTTAGAACAACCACTATTCATTTTAGTAGTAGCAAAAGCTCAATTAGCTCCCTTTTTCTATTTACTTAGAACCTGTTAATTGTACTTTTGCTGTAGAGTTGATCCTGTGAAGTATGATCTCGAGCAGTCTAAGCCTTTTTCATCCTTTGACTGTATGGTTCTGACGTTTGAAAATATGGGAACCGGGTTGAGGAATATTGCAAAACCAGAAAAAAATAATTATTGGCTTTGTCATTCTGGCTTGCTCAGTCAATACAGATTGAATAGGGATGGATGATGTCCTTTGATCAGTGAAAATTGTCGTGTTGGGGAATGGATAGGAGCCCAGCACAACAGTAACTTGTGGTTCTTTTGAAATGAGAAGGCCTTAGTTTTTGGAATGGTAATGACAACAGAGGTGCTGAAGGAGACTGGCTGTGCTACAAGAGCAGAAAATATAGTAATTATGAGAGGCTTCAGTTACTTTTCAATGGAGTGGGTGAATATTATGCTTATGCATGATGCTGAGACTAAAAATTAGGAGACAACTGCTTTGTGGAACAGTTAAAGCAATTTCTCTTCAG